TCAAACCCCAAGAAATCCTAGCTTAATAAGCATCCTTTCAAGTTCCAGTCCTAATTCTTGACAAACAACTTATGTAACTTTGTGGTTATAAAGTTGTATAAATCTTGTTCTCGAATCTGTGTCTCCCAGGCTGTAGCCAGTCTGACTCAAATAAAGCTCTTCTATTCTTATTATAGATTGTTTATTGATTATTAGTACCTATGTTTTCATCATACTAGGAATAGAAAGGAACTTCCTCAAACAGAAAGAGAACACTTACATGCAAAACTCATAGTTTATACCATACTTAATGGTGAATGACTGGATTCTTTCTACCTAATATCAGACACAAGTCTAGGATGTCCTTCTTAATCACGTCATTTGACTATTATATTGGAGGCTGAAGATTAGCCAATTAAGTGGGAAAAAATTAAAGGCTTCCAGATTGGAAAGGAAGAAGTAAAACTATCTTTACTTACAGATGACATGATCTTGTATATAGAAAATCCTCAAGAATTCAGTAAAAACAAACAAACAAAAACTACGAGAGCTAATAAATAACTCAGCAAGGTTGAAGGATACAAGATCAACATATAGAAATCAATTGTATTTCTATGTACTGGCAATGAACAATCCGAAAATAAGAAACAACTGCATTTACAATAGTATCCAAAGAATAAAACACTTGGGAATAAAAGTAACAAAAGACATATAAAATATATACCCTGAAAACTACAAAATATAGTCAAAAGAAATAAAAAGATCTAAACAGGAAAACACACCATGTTGATGGTTCTGAAGCCTTAACATTATTAAGATGGTAATACTTCCCTAATCTCCACATTCAATGCAATCCCTACCAGATTTCCATGGCTTCTTTGTACAAGTTGACAGGCTTCTGCTGAAATTCTTATAGAATTACCAGGGACTCAGAATGGCCAAAAAAATCTTTTAAAAGAAGAACAAAATTGGAGAACTCATACTTCTCCCATTACAAAAATTACTACAAAGCAACAGGAATCAGAACAGTATGGTACTGGCATATGAGTAGACACAGACAAATGAAAAAGAACTGAGTCCAGAAATAAGCTCATGCTTATAGGAGCCTTACTCATAATACCCAAAAGGTGGAAATGACCCAATTGCCTACCAATTAATGAATATATAAACACAAAGTAGCATAGCCAAACAGTAGAATATCAGTCAATGATGAAAGGAATGAAGTAACTAACATATGCTGCAACACAGATGAAACTTGAAAACATTACTTCAAGAGAAAGAAGCCAATCACAAAAGACAACATATTATATGATTCCATTTATATAATATGTACAGAATACACAAATCCATAGAGACAAAGTAAGTTGGTGGTTTCTTAGGTTTGAAGGAGAGAAGACAAGAAAGTTATAAGTACAGGGTATAAGGTTTCTTTCTGAGGTGATAAAAATATTCTAAGATTTACTCTCGTGCAACTGATGGTTGCACATATCTGTGAACAGATGAAAAAAACTGAATTGTATACATTAAATAGTTTAATTGTATGGCATGTGCATTATATTTCAATAAAGCTGCTATTTTTTAAAGAGTAAATAGTGATGAACACATGGGGGATTGCTTTACTATTATTTATGTTTTTGTTAATGTTTAAAATTTCCCATAATAAAAAATAATAAAATAATATTTTACTTTTTAATAATTAAGTACTTTTATTTTTATTTTTCATTTTCTAAAATGTTTTATTTCTTATTTGGCTGCACTGGATCTTACTTGGGGCACATAGGATCTTTGAACTTCATTGCAGCATGTGGGATCTTTACTTGCAGCGTGTGATATCTAGTTCCCTGACCAGGGATCGAACCCAGGCCCCCTGCATTGGGAGCATGGAGTCCTGGTCACTGGATCAAAAGGAAGTCCCAAAGTTTCACCTTTTTTAAAATAGGATACTCCTGTATGTTGGCCACATTAACCACTCTATCAGAACAACAATAGGTTGGCAAATTAAATTCAGAAGATTAGCAAAATAAATTCTACCCTTTCTCCTAGAAGGATATCTTACCCCATTGAGAGAGAAAAAAATTAACCATAAATTAAAACTCATGTAAGATGCTAATTTATTTTCCAAGTTCAAAAACATACAGGTCTTGACTTTAACATATTAAGGTAAGCAGTTGGCTGGCAGAGGTCTATTACTGGCAGGAAAGGAAGAAAGGAACAATGGTAATTAGGCATTTTCAGCCATGAAATCTGGCTTTTTTTGTTACAAAAACAAATTTAAAATATTTCAAATGACAGAAGTTCAATACGCATAAATTGATTTTAATTTTATTTAAGTAATTGTCTTCAATAAAAGTAAGAAATAAGAATTTGCATTTTATCCCCTATTCATTCAGTGTTGATTTCCAGCTCCTTCATGATTTTCTATTTTTTGCCTGTTATGCTTCATCACTTAGTCGTGTTTGACTCTTTGTGACCCTCTAGACTGTAGCCCACCAGGCTCCTCTGTCCATGAGATTCCTCAGGCTAGAACTTTTTAATGGGCTGCCATTTTCCTCCTCCAGGGGATATTCCTGACCCAGGGATAGAACCTGCATCTCCTTTGTATCCTGCATTGTAGGCGGATTCTTTACCCACGTTATCAGGGAAGCCCTTTTCCGTTTTTAAATAAACGTAAAATAAAAACCAAATATCAGGTTTCTCATGGCTATCATCTCCCTTCACTAGAAAAGAAAATAATAGCTAACATTTACTAAGCATTTACCAAGGCCCCAGGTACCATTCTAAGTGATTTGCAAGTATTCTAATCTTCATAACAAAACTACAAAGTAAACCATAGATACTATTTTATCTATGAATACCTATTTTATAGGTATTCTTGAACAAAGAGAGGTTAAGAAACCTGCCCAAGTGATCACAACTATCAATAGCAAGAAGTTGGAAGTAACACCCAAAACCAGATTATCTGCTTATAAATAAGGGCAGCCACCTCACAAAAATTAAAAAGCTATAACTCTGTTAACATCAATTCTAATCACTGTGAGTTCAGACTTCAGGAAAGTATCTCCCATATTTAACTAAAACTTTAAAGGATGATTAGAAAACAATAATTAGAAGTTTTTAACAGATGCATATTATAAATAGTCACAAAAGACTGATCTCTTAGACCTTAATAGAATATTAAATAAAGACTCATCTCTTTATCCCTTAACCTCCAGAAATTCTCTTCCACGCTTCTCACTTTCTTTTTTGTTTTTAATACTTATATATATGTTATCTCCCACACCAAGTTTACTCAGATTTAGTTTTCATTTAAGACGTGGGTGTTTTAATACCTCATTTGCTTAGTCCTAAAATATGGAAGGATGGCTAGATGAACAGCTGTGGCAATAATAACCCCAAGAATCTTCTGGAAGGAACATGTGGGTGAGATGGCAGATGCTGAAATTAGGAGGCTAAGACATTGACACTGTTACTTTTCATTTCAGGGGCTTTATTTTCTCCAGGTCATGCTAGTGCTGCCTCGAATTTTGGAAAACATTGGTCAGGTCTTCCAGGCCAGGCAAGATGACAAATGCACAGAGTTAGAAGAATGTTGCTTTTGAAGACAATATTATAGACTCAATGCTAAAATTTTAATAAAAGCCACAAAAGATTAAAGAGCACAGGAGAGGGAGTTGGACAGACCTCAACTGTATGACCTTAGACAAGTTCCTCTTACTCTAGATTCCCAGTTGTTCTGGGAAGATGGGAGAATAAAATAGCCTAATACATGTAACTACTTAGCCCAATGCCCAATCCATAGGAAGCACTCAATAAATGTCAGATAAGTGTCAGTAGTAACCTTGCAGTGGTAATAACAGTAGTGCTGGTGGTGGTTATGATATGTTCTGAGCAAGACAAAACTACAAATGTGAATGCAAACGTCCCCTCCGGAACGAAGATTTAAACTGAAGTTGAAAAGAATGATAGTAACTTTTCATTAACCAGCAAGAATGCTTTGTGTTTCAATGATTTTTGAGAAATTTCTTATCATGAGGGATAAGATTTGCTACAAACTTCAAAAGTTGCAAAGCTTTAAAAATTACTATATCCTATTGATATTGGATTTTTTTTTTTTGTCCCTTCAAAGAAGGCTTCCATCCAGAAGTCTCACCAAAAACATAAGTGTGTGGTTGTAATTTAAGAACAACAATTACTCATAATTACACAAAATGAAAAATTCCTTAAACTTATAACTTGTAATTATAACTTGCAGAATTTACAAAGTTTCTTTTATATATTATTCTAAATAATAGTTCAACCTATTCACCAAAAAATCTTCAACAAATATTCTCTTTACGTATTTGCAGCATATACGGAAAGAGGTTAGAAAAATTTCTCCCTCTCTGAATACTCACAGACTTTAGCTAAGACTCATCCTTTTCCCTCCAGCATCCTCAACCTGTGGATGTCTGTGATATGGTTTCATTTTTAAAGTAAAAGTGAGATGGATGTGGGGCAGGCAGGCGGGAAAGATCCTTAAAATTGGAGTCAATTGCAGGGCATTGAACTGGGGAAGAGAGAGAGTTCACCTCAGTTCATCTAAACTGCTGTGGTCTGCAATGTAAAGGGAGGAGAAGGAATAATCCTATTGCAAGAAGGAATTAAGGGGTATTAGTACATGCATCCTACTTCAGTCACAGGCTGGGAACTGCTTTGACCATTTGTTCAGAAGACTTGTTGAAGTGTCACAGGAGAATGCTTGTGCACCATGTGACACTCCTGAATGGAATCTTTAAAAATTCGTATCACCCTTTCTCGACATGTTCACAGGGTCACACACACACACACACACACATTGTTCTGGTTGTTTTCTTTTGAATGCAAACATATTCCATAAGAAACCTGTTACCCTCTATCTCCCAAAGCCATTACATGGCATCAGAGAATCAATCTAATAAAAAAAAAAAAAATATATATATATATATATAAACACGGAAAGGGCATTATGAATCCGATGTTTAATTCTAGACATACTTTCTTACCTGATGCTGAATCAGGTGGGTCCTGCCCCACCGTCCTTCGCGGTCTCTACAGATGTCCCTTTAAGAATGTCTGCCAGGGTCCCAGGGCTGGAACGACGAGCAAGATTGGACGTCGCAGAGAAAAGCAATCCTTACTACTCCTTCTCGTTCTCCTGATCCAACTTGTCCCACGACCCAGGCAAAGACAGCGTCTCACCAGGTAGCACCACCAGTTCCACGGAGTTGGAGTGATCCCATCAAGTAGCTCTCCCGCATCCTCTCTCTGTCACCCTCAGAGACGAGCAGGAAAAACGGCATCAGTCCCGTGGCAGAGATCAGGCAGGAGAGAACAGAGGAAAGTAATGCTGCTCACAAAGAGGAAATGATGAAGGAGGCAATGAGTGGGATGTAGCAGAAAAAGGACCGCAGCGGCGGAAGGGACACCTCCCGATTCAAGCCTAACTCCAAGCCATCTTCGCCCTGTTGTCATAGCACTTTACAACGAACGCTACTGCGCAAGTCAGATCGCTGAGTCCCAATGCCTGCTGGGGGTTGTAGTCCTGAGTGTCTCCGGAGCGCGGAAGACGGAGAATTTTTCCTGATTGTTGGAATCAAATTTCTACTGGGCGGAGCTAGAGCGAACCATTGCCTACTCCTCGTTAGCGGTGAAACAGAATTAATTCGATTCCCGTTTTCTGTTCTCAGACAGACTTGGACGCGGCTTCTGAGGAAATCCGCCTCTAGCCTCTGGCGCGGACGAAGCCACGCCCCCCAAACCAGGCTCAGTCCCCGCCGCCCGAGGCGTGTCTAGGGCGGGGCTCGGGTGCGGCGGGGAGGGGCTCGGGTGCGGCGGGGCGGGGCGAGGTGGGGCTCGGGGCGGGGTCCCAGTAGGTTTCAGGGCCAGAGCATCAGAGGCCCTGGCCGCCCAGCGACCTCTTCTCTTGAACTGGTAGGCGCAGGAGGCCCGGTCCATGGAAGAGGCAGCCGTGGCGAGGGTGAGCGCAAGTGTGTGCGCCCTGGTGGCTGGGGTGCTGCTGGCCCAGTACATGTTCACCTTAAAAGGAAGGAATACGTACTGTGCGTATTCTGGAACTCCCCAGAATTTTCTGCCCGATAACAACAACTCTGGGAAAACACTACCTGATTTCTTTCCTTGGTTCACCTCTTCTTGATTCTGCAGACCAACTTCTTCCTGCAACGCGATTACATTTCCTTTGTTTATAAATCACAGCTTCCAAAGCCTATGTCATTTTTCTTGACTGTATTTGAATGTCTTAAAAGGCATCATATAGTCAGTCAGTCACTCATTGGCCCAGATAACTTCCATTGTTGCGGAATGCAAGTGTGTGTTCCTTTAGCACGTGTCCAACTCTTTGTGACCCCATGAGCTGTAGCCTGCCAGGTTCATCTGTACATGGAATTTCCCAGGCAAGAATATTGGAGTGGGTTGCCATTTCCTTCTCCAGAGGATCTTTCGGACCCAGGGATTGAACCCGGGTGTCCTGCAGTGCAGGCAGATAGGCCAGACCCAAATGTCGGAGCTCAGAGCAGAGAAAGTTTTATTACAACCCTATTCAAGGAGAATGGGGCAAAGATGCTTTTTTTAAAAAAGATAAAATAAAACAAAAAAACCTCTGTATGCCTCGAAATGTTTCAGCAAAACGCAATTTTAAAGGCAAAGTTGTGGGGAGGTGTCCCAAGATATGTGATCTGCTCCGGTGCAATGGGGACTCGGGCTCATGATAATCAGGTAGTTAATTTCTTCCATTTTGTGGCAGTTTTTAGCATCTGAAAAACTCAGGGAAAAAAAAGAAAAACTCAGGAAATATGCATAAGATACTATTATCTGAGTACTTCAAACAGGAGCTTTGGCAGAGGATATGGGGGAGAGATCTATCCTGGGAAGGCCCCACAAGGTCATGATCAGTTACACATGAATGGCTAAATGAACGTAGATTCATTCAACAATTCTTATTGGTTTCATTGTTAGAAGAAAAGATAATTTCTAAATTCCAGGGCATATGTCAGTATAATTTCAGATGTCTATGCATAGCTTCTGTGTGTTTGTATTTTCCTGAATAAATTTGAAGAAGTTCTTCACGTTTTGTGTCATTAACAGTTTGAATATTTTGGCAAATATTTCCCTTATGCTGTTATTTTTACTTCCTCTGCAGTTTCTTCCATTATTTCAAGGCTGAAAAAAATTATATATCACATACAGTTTCAAAGCACAACCTAGTTAAGCACCTAACACTTTTGCATGCTGGTTCTGGAGAAGGAAATGGCAACCCACTCCAGTACTCTTGCCTGGAAAATCCCATGGATAGAGGAGCCTGTTAGGTTAGAGTCCATGGGGTAGAAAAGAGTGGGACACGACTGAGCGACTTCACTTTCACTTTCCATGACCTACTAGTTGTTTTCTTGTGCAAGTCACTGAGCTCTCTGGGCCTCTTTATCACTAAATATAGATGATACACATGGGTGGTAACAGCACTTGTTATAATTTTTTTAATTAAATGATCTATTCTACTATTAAGAGCTTGGTTCAACAACCACATAAAGAGTGCACAGTATATACTGGCTTTTCATTCCCAGAACCCAAATCTTGTCCAAATTCAATATATTACACCGACTATATGTCGCATGGATCATCGAAAAAGCAAGAGAGTTCCAGAAAAGCATCTACTTCTGCTTTATTGACTACACCAAAGCCTTTGACTGTGTGGATCACAACAGACTGTGGAAATTCTTAGAGAGATGGGAATACCATACCACCTTACCTGTCTCCTGAAAAATCTGTATGCTGGTCAAGAAGCAACAGTTAGAACTGGACATGGAACAACAGACTGGTTCCAAATTGGGAAAGGAGTACATCAAGGCTATATAGTGTCACCCTGCTTATTTAACTTATATGCAGAGTACATCATGAGAAACACTGGGCTGGAAGAAGCACAAGCTGGAATCAAGATTGCNCTTTATGGTGAAAGATAATTTCATCTGGACCAGTGTGATTCTTTTATACATGATATTTGACATACAATCAAAAAATCGTAAGACTTCCAAAAGGTAGGAAAATATTATCAATAATCAAGAGCAATCTACACACACACACACACGTCAGATACACAAACAGTTCATAAGTGGTGTGACCAGACTAGAACTTTAAATAATTCTATACTGTGATAGTAGCCAGTAGCCAAGTCACTCAGTCATGTACAGTCCATGGAATTCTCCAGGCCAGAATACTGGAGTGGGTAGCCATTCCCTTCTCCAGGGGATCTTCCCAATCCAGGGGTCAAACTCAGGTCCCTGCATTGCAAATGGAATATTTACCAGCTGAGCCACAAGGGAAGCCCTTAATATGATAAATGTGTTAAAAAAATTATGAAAAAAACATAGACAAGAATAGATGTAATTAAGATGTGTTAAGAACATCACCAGAAAATTTTTTGTCTCCAAAAACAACCTAATGCGCCGCGCGGCCGGGCAGCCTCAGCCGCGCCGCGCGGGGCTGCGATGTCGTCCCGGCCCGGGCGCGACGATGCGGGGGCCGGGGGCGCGCGGCGGCCCCGGGAGCCCCCGGAGCAGGAGCTGCAGCGGCGCCGGGAGCTGAAGCGGCGGCGGCAGGACGCGCAGCAGCTGCAGCAGCTCAAGCACCTGGAGTCCTTGTGAGTCCGTCACGCCCGTCTCCGTCTCCGACTAATGCTAGGAATGGGTCGGGGCCCGGGTCGCGCGGCGGGGTCCGCTTGGGGTCGGCGCTTTAGACGGGACCCTCGGACATCTGGCGGGTGGGCTGGTGAGCCCCTCGGACCCCGGCGAGCCGAGAGCCGGTTTTGATCCCGGCGGCGGGACCCTAGGTTCCCAGCGGCTGGCGGGAGGGAGGGAGGCTCCTCCCCCGAGCCTCGTCCCGGACCCGAGCTGTGGCGGCGGGCGCTTCCCCCGCAGGAAGCGGCGGTTTTAGTCCTCGTGCGGCGGCGGCGGTGCTTGGTCAGGACTCGGGGACTGAACCCAGAAGTGCGGCTGAGCGCCCTGGTCTTTCCCGCTCTCAGGTCAGGGGGCGCGCTGTGAACGGGTTAAAATCCCCATCCTTTTCATCTTCTGCTCTTAATAAGGGAAGAGAAAGCCCAGTTCCGTTACGTTCGTGCGGTGACGAAGAGAAGTCAACTGGGGTGAGGGCCTGGCTCCCAACTACTCGGGAGGAGCTGTCACGTAGACGAGAGCGTAGACTTGTTCTCTCTGGTCCTTAGGAGTTTTTACCAGGGTTAAGGGTGAAAGCTACTAGGAGGCCAGTTCCAGCTCAAAAAGAATTAGGACCTGAGTCAGCGTGCTCCCCAAGCTCCCGAGGGTTGGAGGAGAGTCCAGATGACCACTGAGAGAAGGGTGGGTTGTAAAGGAGATTTAAATATAAGGTGGAAAGTTGGATTAATAACCCTTTCTATTCCCTTCTGTTTTTTCCTTCTATAATCAGCTTTAGAGGTCAAACTTAAGAGTCAGAGTTTGATGTTCAATGAGTTATTTGACTTATTTGTTTCAGGCACTTCTCACTGCCTACCTTCTCATGATTGCTGAGACAATGATGTAAGGCCCTCAAAGGGTTAATCCTTCATTACTAACCTTTGGGAACTTTGACAAAATGCATGCTTTCTTGGAGCCTGGCCTCCTGTGGCTCTTAAGCTGAATGTCACTTCATTTGAACAACTGGGTGTAAACAGAATTAGCCTTGTAGGTAAGGTACAAAGCCTTTTAGATCTGGTATCTCCAAAGCAAATTGCTGAAATATTTTCCAGTGGAAAGCTGTGGCATGTCACAGGCCTGGCCTCTTTTAGTAAGAATAATGAAGAGAGTGAGATTCACTCAGTCATGTCTAACTCTGCGACGCAGTGGACTGTCCATGGAATTCTCCAGGCCAGAACACTGGAGTGGGTAACCGTTCCCTTCTCCAGGGGATCTTCCCAACCCAGGGATCGAACCCGGGCCTCCTGCATTATGGGCGGATTCTGTACCATCTGAGCCACCAGGGAAGCCCATAATGGAAGAATAATAGAAATGTGTATAAATTGGGCAGGTGATACAGTCTGTCAGCAGCCATTCATTAGTAACATTAATGCTATGTCTTTAGGGTTTTCTACTTCAAAAACTAAAACATCTTTTTTATAAGGACAGTCCTAAAGGGTGTCAAAAGACAAAACTACCACACTTTGCAAACAGTTTGATGTCCTTTGTTCAAGGGAAAACAATCCACAGATTGAAGAAGTACAGTGTTTCATCTGCAGTGGAACACTCTTCCCAGTTATTTTGGACAGGAGCAAGTTTTACAGGGTGTCTGAGAGGCAACTTGAAAATAGGACACGATTGGCTAGGGAGTCAGGGATTTCTTCTTTTTTTTTCTTTAGGGATTTCTTTACAAAGCCTGCTCCTCTTATCTAGGGTAAGCTAAACTAAGCTAGGTAGCCCTGGGCTAAAGGATTGTGATTGGTATATACTAGGTTTCCTTGACAGCGAGGCATTTCCCATTAGGGCAGACTGACTTAGGTTTAGATTTGAACTGGGCCACTCCATTTTGGGGTTCCCAAGCTACGGAGGACCTTTGTCCAGAGTTACACTGAGGTTTTGTAAGAGCAGTTTCAACTTTTATGGCTTTTCTAGATTTCTTTAGGAGTACCCTTATCTCCTCAGTTCTCCCTTCTGGTACTGAGCGCTGTGCCTGGCCTGGCAATTGTTGAGTGGTTACTTCTGCAGGGAGTAAGTTTCGAAACTGAACTTGCAGTATCACCTAAAAGTTTAGCTTCTCCTAATAAACCTGTTCTTTTCTTTGGTAGGAGGAAATAGCAAGTTGGTTAGAGCAGGAGTGCGGATATGATTCCTGAAACAAACAAATGACATAGAAATTTTTAAAACAAAAATGCTTCCTTTGTAACTGTATAACAGAAATGAGCTAACAGCCTATTTGTGGCCTTTTTTTTGCCCCTAAGTCCTTTGGTTTCTCTCTCAGAACTTTATTAGCCTGGACTTATACCAACATAGGTGTGAGGAAGATGATGTTAATTTCATTTATCTTTTGTAGTTAAAAAAACATTTTTTGAGGCAGTGTATTTGCATGTAAATAAATGTAAGTGAGAAAAAAGCTCCCTCCCTCAGGTGATATCTTATATATATGTATAATCTCCCTTTTCCAATACACACAAATAGAACCATACCAAACACTCTGTCCTGTACACTACTGCTTTCTTGTTTTAACTTAAACTATTTTGGCCTAGTTTTAGAATAATCTGTATCTATTTGACTATTAGATAAGTGATTGGCCATTTTAGAATTTATTAATGTTTTCCTGATGACATTTTCAGTGTATTAAAATTCAGAAAATTAATCATCTCTGAATTCACCTTCTGTGTGCAGCAACTTTGGGACTCCCCAATTTCCAAGTAGTTGGAGTCAAGATAGCATTTTAAACCAGTCATAGCACCTCGATGCCCTCTCTCAGTAAAATTCCACTAGAGAGGCATTGAAAAGACCTGAGCTGTTCAGTTATCCTGCCTCTTTTTCCAACTACATTCTTTTTTAAGAAGGGGGTTATATCCATTAGGCAGTCACCTTTAAAAGCCAGACACCCACGCTCTGCATTGCAGAGCCTAGAATGTGTCAGTGCTTGAAACTGAACATAATTACACCTGAAAGTAATACAGTGTTATATGTTAATTCCATTTCAATTTTTTAAATTAGTTTTGTTTTTTTTTTTAAATGAATGGGAGCTGTGGGTGCTGCTTTTGTAGATTTGGCACCAGAATCCTTTTCCCCAAGTTCCAGCAAAATAATGAAAAGTGGAAATGAGTTGGGAGCATAGGCATGATTTGCATACTCAGAACCCGAGGGTCTGAGAGCTGTATTGGTGGAAGGGAAAGTACATTTGCACACAGTCATCTGCTTCTCTAGCAGTAGTTGAGTGCCAAGATCGCCCTACATCCTTGAGCCCAGAAGGGTCAGTAGGGGCAGAAAGGGCAGTCAGAGAGCTGAGGAGCAAGTGGCAGTGTGCTCTGCAAACACCATGGGCCAGTGGAGAGGATCTTGAATCAAGAGCTGGGGCAAGCGGTGGGAGGGGGAGCTTCTGGGATGGATCACCCCCACCTCCTTTCGCAATAGCAGACCCTTCCCTCCGGCTTTGCTCCCTCCCCGTTGTGCAGTCCCCATCCTTCTTAGAGCACTCACACCGCCACCCCCATGAGCCTCACAGTGTTACGGAAGTTGGAAGTTATGGTAGGTAAATCACCCACAAGTGTAATGACAGATTGGAACCATAATTAGCTCAAGTCTCTTCTTCCCTCACATCTTCCCTGCAGTCTCTTGATTTCCCTTACTCTAAATATAAAATCATTGTCCTAAGACACCAACTTAGTTATTATTTGGTCAATTTAAGTTCTGCATCCCAGCAGGATGTGATACAGCATCAGTTTATTTATATTAACATAACATCTCTGACTGCTGGGCATATTTTATTAACTGTTTCTAAAAGTGATGGTATAGTTTTAGTTTTTACTAAAAATAACCTTTTTTATTTTGGCCTGTAGTTGCTTTTTGGTGATTGAAATGTGTTATGTTCCTATGAACATGGTTGATGACCAGTTTTTTGTGTTTTTTGTTTTCCTTCTAGTTATGAAAAACCTCCTCCTGGGTTTATCAAGGTCAGTGTAAAGTTTGTATTTTTGGTTTTTCTCTGAGACAGATTTGACCAGAGCTCAGACTCAGTCACTTGTTATGAAAAACAGCTGCTGCAGGCTTGAACCTCCTTTATGGTAGTTCTGTCTCTTCCCTGCAGATGGCAGTCGGTTCGTACACTTGGGGCTTTGTTATAGTCTGTGCCTTTGCAGAAGTTTAACCTGCCCTGTGTCTGTCCGTCCCTAAGACACCACTGCAGGCCCCCTGGGTGTCCTCAGCACCAGCTCCCCTTCTTTCTGTCTCCCTTGTGACTGCACCTTCTCAAAGCTCTGCTGCCCGTGTTCCTTCTCTGACGCTCCGCTGCTGCTTTCTTGAATGTCATCAGTCAGAGAACCGTGGACTCGGGACATGTGAATCCATCCGGTCCAGCCCCGCCTGGTGCAGTCCCCCCTCCAGGACCCTGGCCACAGTGTCAGTGTGTTTCTCTGGGACTGAGACTTGGAGGACTTAAGGCCAAAGTAATCTTTTCTGTTTGGTAACTTTTAACTTAAAAAAAATTTTTTTTAGGAAACATTCTTCCATTATAAATTTAATATTCCTGGAAACTTGAAAAAATCATAATGTAAAAAAACAGCACCTTAACTATACAGTGCAGTTATCTGGTGGTGAAAATGCGTCACAAGTACAGTATGTAAGAGATTATAAACCATGACAGCGGCCCTCAAGGTCTAATAATCTTTTACTCTGACACATTGTTTTTATTGTTCCAGGAAACCTTACTTGTTTAATTCTGTCTTCTGCCTCATTCCACAAAGCTTCTAAGTTAGCAGAAAATTTTTTGTGGTCTTAGAATCTAATTTTTGTGATCTAGAATTAGAATTTGAGGCTCACAGATCATCCCTGTGTAAACACTAGTGACTTTTCTCAGGAACAGCTGCTTTATTTTTTGTGGTACAGCTAGCTCTTCTGGAATAGTTACTTCCATTTTCTTTCTGTCAGTTATAATTTGTCATTCTAGCTTTTCAGAGGATGACGTGATGACATAGGGATCTCCAGCCCATGAGAAAGCCAGGCAGTGCTGTGTTCTCAAGCAGGTGGGAGAGGGCTCTGGTGGTTTTTTTGCCATAGAGCTTACACACTGTTTCCTTTTCAGGAAGATGAGACTAAGCCAGAAGACTGTATACCAGATGTCCCAGGCAATGAACATGCCAGGGAGTTTCTGGCCCACGCACCAACCAAAGGACTTTGGATGCCACTGGGGAAAGAAGTCAAAGTCATGCAGTGTGAGCGTGGAAATATTTCAAGTAACACCCTTAATTCACTCATGTTATAGGCCACTGTTTACAAATGAGTTCACTCCTTTTAGTTCATTCTCACACCACGCTGTTGAAGTCAGGGCATGATCTCTAGGCGATAGATGAGGAAGCCGCCTTCCACGTGTTAGTCAGTGCCTGGGGTAAGCGGCAGAGCAGTGCCTTGACTCCAGGGCTTCTGGCTGCAAGGGCGGTGGTTTTCCACAGGACTGTAGCTGCTTGCACAGTCTATGCTTCAGTAATAGTCCTGTAACAGAAAGGATATTCCATGTAGAAATGCCATGGGGGATGAAGGATGCATTGGGGGGTGGTTCCTTGGGTCTCACCTCGGCCTGTCCTCCTCATTATTGGTATTAGGGTTTACCCAGGTGACCTGAGAGGAGCTGTGGGCCACACAGGGTGGGTCTGGACCAGGTGGAGCCTTGTGCACACCATCTACTGTACCAGCATAAGATGGCATTTGAAGAAGGGGTACTGCTGCCTTTAGAAATATTTATTGTACAAAGATCCTTCATGTACACAATTAAAATATCAGTTCTTATCCCTTTCCTGCATTCCCCTCACCTGAACCTCTTTTAAAACAGTTATTTTTAAGTTTGTCCCCATGTATCTAGATAACAGGATGACATTCCTGACCCTTGATTTTTCCAATTTCCTTATTATCTGCTCATTTCTTACTGTAGGAGACCAGAATTCAGCTCCTTTTTTCTTCCTCCATCCCATCTCATACACATGCCCTACCTATCTCATTTCCCCAATAACAGTTATATCATAAATTTAATTAAATAAATCCATTGTGCTTATTTTTTTCAGAGTTGAATCACTTGTTAAACTGATTATATTTCCTTTTTTAAAAATTAAGTTTAAAAAGCACTCCTCTCTTTGATGGAGTAGTTAGTTGTGCTTAACTTTCTATTTCATTGACATGCAAATTAAGTGTTTAGTCTGGACCAGAACCAGTTTTACATAAAGTTAATGAAGCTTAAGCTTTAGGACCCCTTCCTTGCACCTTCGAAAGGCCTTTGGAGTCCCAACAGTGGTCCTGTCTTTCTGTAAAATTTACCAAGTAAAGATTCCCCGCCCCCCCAAAAGAGCCCTTCTTCTCCTTAATTTATGTAAGCTTCAGACTTCACAAAACTTATATCCATCCAGATGCAAAAATACATGCACACATAACCCTATTGTCATTGATTTCCATGATCCTAGTGTTATCTAACACAGAGCTTCTCAAACTTGGGGTGGGCCTGATACTATTTCTGACAAGCTCCCAGGTGATGCCAGTCTTGCTGGTCCACTGACCACACCTTGAGTAAGCATCGCCTCTCCTTTAGTAGAGGTTTTGATCACAGATCATATGGATCCTTCTTGATACTGCACATCAATTTATGGCATTTAAAATTTCTCCTTTTGTCATAAAGACAGACATTTGTTTGAAGGGGTCTGCATTTGTACTGAATGCATTTCTTCTTCCCCAGGTAGAACTAACTCAAAATAGTGGGGAGATGCAGAAGGGGCAGATCAGAGGATCCCTAAACTTCATTTTTTCCCAGTGGTTTCCTACTACCAACTTTCACATTGAAATGCGAAGAAGAAAATATTTCCCCATCACTACATATTTTCATTAGCTACCAGCATGGAGCAAAATTGGCTAATCCTATACCTAGAATTCCTCGTCCTGCTTCCTGACCTCCTTAGTTGGAGTTACTGAATGCCTGTGTAACTATTACTAGTTCTGCTGTAACAAAGTCCTACAGACTGCACGCTTAAAACAAGAAGTTTCTTGTCTCACAGTTCCGGAGGCTAATGATCCAAGGTCAAGCTGTCCTTCTGAGGGCTGGTGTGGAAAGGATGTATTCCAGGCCTCTCTAAAAATCCTGTCTCCCAGTAAGGTCATTCTGAGGTACTAGTGGTTAGGACTTTCAATACAGTGGGAAAGCAAAGGGGATGACACAATTCAACCTGTGGCACAGTTTTTAAAAAATCACACTTTGTTTTTTGCATGGAATTATTTAGGAAGTACTTGGTTCATTTCTAAAACTCTGCAATTAAAGGATACTTGAGGAAGTAGTTTCTCTCTTTTCACTAATTATATTTGCTTTTAAAATTGGAATGTAATGAAGAATATCTTTAATATGATCTACTGATACTTTATCTTGATTAAGTAAAGATATATTATCTTAAAGAAATATATCCCTTTGTCTTTATTTTAGGTTGGCGCTGTAAACGGTATGGTCACCGAACGGGCGACAAAGAATGCCCTTTCTTTATCAAAGGCAACCAAAAGTTAGAACAGTTCAGAGTAGTAAGTAAAACCCCAGAGTGTCAATTTACATTTACTGGATATGATGAATGTCAGTGAATCAGGCAGTCACCAGTGAACTGGAGTTTCACACAAAATACGTTCCCAAAGAAGCCAAAGTATCTGGTGTTAACTGCATCTCTATTAAATCAAATTTGTGTGACAGATTAGTTATTAACAAAAAAAAGATGCTTGTTAAAATGATATTTGCTATGCCTTGGGAACACTGCCTTTTCCAAAGAGGCATTTTTAATCAATTCAGTCAGTCTTTTTGTACTTACGTGAAAAATCATATTTCATAAATAAAATAGGGTTCTAATTTCTCAGCTTTTGTCTAAAGACTACATATATTTGTATCATAAACTGGAAGTATGTACAAATAATATACTTTCTTTGGATGACAATAAAGTCAGTCAATCATTTCATCACTTTTTTTTTTTTTTGGCTGAGCCATGTGACATGTAGAACCTGAGTTTCCCAACCAGGGATCAAACCCATCTCCCCTGCATTGAAAACTCAAGAGTCTTAACCACTGGGCCACCACGGAAGTCCCTTGTCACTTTATCTTAACAAAGTCACCTCCCAGGTGTTAATTCACCATTCAATAACTATTTTGGTCAATTTAACTATGCTATTGCTGGATATTGGGATTATCAGCATGTCAAACTGGGGTATATAAACATTCTACAAGGATTTTAAGATAATTAAAATATTGGGTTTTCATTTTACTAATTTACAGAAAATATTCTGAATAAATGACTCCTACCCAGAATGTCAGCTTTTACAGTACCTTTAACAGATAATTTGATGATAAATCTCAAAAACGTAAATACATTCATATTTTTAAAATTTCAAAATCTAAATTGATCTAAAGATAAAATAGAACATCAGTATACACAGATAATTATAACTTTCAAAATTATTTATATGATTAAAAAATAGAAATTGAAGAAAAATAGGAAACAACTGTGGTGTCCGATATACAGCATGATTCGCTGCAACATATAAATCATATGGCTTTTAAGAATTATGTTTTAAGAACTTCCCTGGTAATCCAGTGATTAAGCCACAGTATCTGGTGCTAACTACAGTGATTAAGAATCCGCCTTACAATGCAGGGTATATGGGTTTAATCCCTGGTCAAGCCCACACACAGCTAGAGAGACCACGCACTCTGGAGCCTGTGCCCACACACTGCAGCAGCGACTCCAAGTGCCGCAAAGTCCAACGCAGCCAAATAAATGGATATTATTTTTTAAAAAAAGAATTATGTTTTAAAAGAATATGTAATGTCATAGGAAGATATTCATGAAAACATAAAGGAAAAAGAATAGAGTTGTATTGATGTACATAACATGATTCTATTTTTTGGAAATATGAATAATGACTAGAAGAAGCACACTAAAATATTAACAGTGGATATCCCTAGGTGGTAAGATATCAGATATTTTTAACTTTATGTTTTCTTTGATATGTAAAAAAATTTATAATATTTTTAAAGATAGTTCACATGCCATGAAATTTTATGTGTATTCATATTTTTAAGTAATTTAAGTAGTTTTAAATTATACAAATATAAGATTAAATTCATCTTATTTTAACAGAATGGAAACATTACAGAAAGGTTTTTCACAATTGATTTTTCAAGTCCAATCTTGCCTCTCTCCTCAGAGGGAATTTGTAGTAAGTAGTTTGATGAGTATACTTCTAGATTTCTTTTTGGTCATATACAGTATGTTTTTGTGCACATATAAATGAATCATGTATCATTTCCAACTCACTTGTTTGCTTAATAGTATCATTTGATCATCTTTCCATATAGAACAAATAGAATTAATCTCAACATTTCTAACCTTGAGTAGTACTTAATAATGATTTTGCCATGGTTTATCTCCTTATGAAGGCTGTGTAAATTATATCCTTTATTTGTATAACTGGAAAATCTTTTTTATAGCCTCTAGGAGTTTGAAATGGCAACCCTTAAGAAGGATTAGAATGGTGAATATAAAATTACCACCAAACAGGAGGAAAAAAATGTTTCCATGAAAGAGGGATTTAATTTTAACAGTCTATGAAGCCAAAACTAACCTTAACCTTCTCTAACCTTCAAGGCACATGAAGATCCCATGTATGACATCATTCGTGAGAATAAAAGACATGAAAAGGATATAAGGTGAGATTGTCCTGATGATAACAATATCCTCTTAAATTTTGAAATTAAAGCTAGAAACTATAAATTTAAAATTTAAAAATCCCAGTATTAGAGGAGTGGTTTAGTAAATTGTGAAATATTTGGAAGACTGGAGTAGTCACTGAAAAAAAGCCACTGTGTAGGGAATGATCAGGCCAGCCGGTTCTCCTTGGGTTAACTTAAAGCATTGTGCTTGACCTAGCCTTAACTCACTCGTGTCAATGATAGTATTGGCAACTACCATTTATCTTCTCTAGTGTCTTTAAAGATCTGAGCTTTTTTAAAATTCCTAGACAGGGTGAAAAAACAAGAGGAACTTTTTTGTGGGTTTTTTTTTTTAATATTGTTTTGTTTTCAAATTGCTGGTATTATAATCGTTTCGATTTTTTTTTAGTGAAGTATAGTTGATTTGCAGTATCATGTTAGTACAGCACAGCAATTCAGAAATATACCAATATATAAATATATACACACACATATATTCTTCAGATTCTCTTCCCTTACAGATTATTACAGAATATTGAATATAATTCCTTGTGCTGAATTATAATTGTTGAAGAGGTAGATTACCTAGCATGAACTTGAGCAGTGGGAGAATGATTTAGGAAAGTATGCATCTGTTAGAAATTATAAAAGGAAGGACTATGGAAACATGCCAAAATACTTAGGACAATGGAAAGAATACAAAATGGCTTGTACACTGGTTACAGTCATGTAAAACAGGCATGGATGTATACAAGAATCGGGAAAAGATATAAAAATAAATACTATCTTTAATGAGGTGATTAATTTGTGATATTTTTCACCCTCATTACTGTTGTTATATTTTTATCTAAAAAATTTTTTCAAGTTAAGTTGAATATGGTTCTTTGGTCAATCTTATGTGTTTAGGATACAACAGTTAAAACAGTTACTGGAGGATTCAACATCAGATGATGATGGGAGCAGCTCCAGTTCCTCAGAAGTGTGGGTCCCAACTCCTTAGAAACGCCTCGGGCAGGGCGGCCAGATGAAGGGAGGCTCTGAGGAGCTTCTCCAGGTGCGGCCGCAGGTTCCACCTCCGGGGGAGCTACTTGTGCCCACAGAGCTCAGGCTTGACTTCCCTCTGCTGCTGAGGATAATAAAAGCTCACTATTTATTTTTTAAATGCATTTACTTTTATTTCTTAATGCATACACATGCTCCAAATTTAAAAGGTACCTTAATTATGAAACTTTTATTTCCTTCCTCCCCCAGCTTCCCAGTTCCCTTTCCCAGTGGCTACCAGTTTTACCAGTTTCTTGTGACGTCTTCCAGGAATACTGCCTACATCACAAGCAAGCATAGGGCTTTAAGTATAAATACTATACACATTCATCTCCATGTTATGTTTTAACAGTATAATGTTGATTTTAATAGCAAATATATCCTGCGTTATGGCATCATAGGTATAGTGTCTTCATATGACACATAGCACACACTCTTAAGTGGCCACACAATTCCTTGATTTGAAGGTACTACAATCATGTAACCATTCCTCTACCGCATTCTGTTGTTTCCTGTTTGTCATTCTCCAATATCGTGATTTGTAATATATATTTGATCACTCATATGACCAAAATATATGTCTCAGATATATTTGGTCATTGTCCAGTTTCTGGACACAGCTCCCCAAACCCTTGGAATATCATGTGTGATAAGAACAATGGGAGCATCTTTTGTTGTGTTTGGTCTCTTGTCCTCCATTCATGACAGAACCGGAAAAGTGAAATGAGTGTCTTGTTTATTCATAACTAACTCCTTTCTACAACATCTGGGTTTATGTTCATGAGATGACTTTTGGAAGGCACCTAAGGATGTGGGGAGAGGCTGGTTGCCAGGAAAATCAAACTGAATAGAACTGGAACTTGCAGCCCCACACCCTCATGTGGGGAAAGATTAGAGGGACTGGAGGTTGAATCAGTCACCAATGGCTAGTGATTTAATCAATCTTGCCTACGTGATGGAGCCTCCATAGAAGCCCAAGGAGGAATTCAGTGAACATCCGGGTTGGTGAACACACAGAGGTGCTGGGAGGATGCCATGCAAGCAGAAGGTATGGAGGCTCTGTGCCACTTCCCACCCCATCTATTTTGCCCTGTGCATCTCTTCCATCAGGCCATTCCTGAATTACAGCCTTTTATAATAAATCAGAAATGTAGCAAATTAACTGAATCCAAAGCAGGGAGTTGGAAGGCAGAAGCACAGGCAAAAACGTGACTTTTGAGTAGAACCTGAAGTAGATGAGGCATGTGGCATAGTCCGACACAACTGAGCTCTTGCCATGTGAAATCATGCATTTCCAGGCAGACAGTGTCAGAAATGAGTTAAACTGTAAGACACTGCTGGAGTCAGGATCTGCAGACCGAGCTTACTGTACCCTTCCCATCCAATCCTTCATTACTCCCACCAGTGCATTTCTACCTCCTGGATTCCTGTCTCCAACTACCTCTGAAGCTCAGTTGTGTTCTGATGGGCTTGGAATGCTAGTGGAGACGGTGACCACAGGGCAAAATGGGTTATCTTAAGTTAAAACTAAGTTATCCATTAAATAGTGTACATTAAATGCCAGTCTCCATACAGCTGTGCTGTGCTCAGCCACTCAGCTGTGTCCGACTCTTTGCAACCCTGTGGGCTGTAGCCAGCCAGGCCCCTCTGTCCATGGGGATTCTCCAGGCAAGAATACTGAGTAGTAAGAATATCCAGTACAGCAATAATCAATACCATTCAGAAATGTAGAGTATGGCCAGGACAGTGATAGCTCCTGTATTTGTCTTGTTGTGAAAGTGTACTGATGACATGTGAGGATCACCTTATGCAACCATGGCTTGGGGACACAGGCCAGAACTCTTCCTGATGTTACTTAAGCAGGTCTGAAGTAGAAGTTAATCAGGCTGTCACAGACCAGCTTTGCCAACACTACCTTTTACTTGTCTCATTGCCCTCACTGCTATCACTTTTTACCTGCTCATTACACCAGCTAGCAGTTCTGCATTAGTATAAGGGAGTTCAGTTTGGTTCAGTCGCTCAGTCGTGTCCGACTCTGTGACCCCATGAACCGCAGCACGCCAGGCCTCCCAGTCCATCACCAACTCCCAGAGTTTACCCAAACTTATGTCCACTGAGTTGGTGATGCCATCCAACCATCTCATCCTCTGTCGTCCCCTTCTCCTCCCGCCCTCAATCTTTCCCAGCATCAGGGTCTTTAGCACAGCAAAGATATGTTCAAACAGCTTAGCTCACAGGGAACATTGGCCAGTCCATCCATGTATCCCTACAGTGACCACAAACATTCCTGGTGGAACTCCCACTACCTCCCACACCTGGAACACCATGAATTCTGCCATGCCACCTTCCTTCAAAGAAAACCCAGGCAGTCTTCAGCCACACAAACCTTTTGAGTACCTAGTCATATTTAACCTACACCATTTATTGGAAGATTGAATTCACTTCTTGACCATCTAGCCCCTAGGGTCTGAGTATAAAGAAGTCTTACATGCCTGAAGCTTCCTTTGTTTCAGGAGACACTGCTGCTGCTGCTAAATTGCTTCAGTCGTGTCTGACTCTGTGCGACCCCATAGCAGGCAGCCCACCAGGCTCCCCCGTCCCTGGGATTCTCCAGGCAAGAATACTGGAGTGGGTTGCCATTTCCTTCTCCATCAGGAGACACTAGATCCAAGTAAAGAATGCATGACCACCTACCCTCCACACGTCTATCAGTGTCCTATCGGACCTGCTATATGCCTGGCCTACATTATACAGACAATGAGTCAGCATCCTCTCTATTCCCAGGATAGAGCTTCTGTATGGAATGCTTAAGTCTTTTTATTCTGTCCTCAACTCCACCATCCTTTTCTCTTTATCCCAAGGTCCCTGGTGAGGACAAGACAGAACTATTCATGGGTGACCCAATTCTACTAGTGTTGTCATGAGTGATGTGGCCATTTTGAGAGGAGAAGAAAATGCTTAAGAATTACACTTTTGAAATCCAACTTATTTGCTATTTTGCAACTTTTAATTCACAACTTTACAATGTCATATTTTCTTGTTTGCTGGTATAACTTTAGTAGTTCAAGAAAGAGATCTCGTGTTCTAATCCATCATGATAATGCAATATTTCACTTTTTGTTGTAGCTGGAACTCAGCAATTTGTTTCCTAAGAAGTAACAATAGAATAATACAGTTCTTTAAGCCAGGTAACTCATGTGATACAGAGAATCATTACCAATATCTTTAGTTTCCATTTTTAGGGGAAAGCCAAGGGTGTTAACATTTTGCCTAAGTTTAGTTATCATTCTTCCCTTTATGACCTCTGCAGGGCAGAAATGACCTTTTAAAGGTCATCAATCCACTGGTCCAAGACTAGGGGTTTAGGTGAGGAAGGGTTACCCAGTGCCAAGACATTGTGAAGGGAAGCCTGTCAAGCTGCTGGCCCCTGAAGGGAGATGCTAAGCTTCCATTTACCTAGCTCTAAATTAGAACACTAATGGTGAAGCCACCAGCAAACTTACAGAATTCCATACAATCCACAATATACTATTGGTAACAGCAGCAGGAATTAAACGTGAAAATTAGGATAAAAACAACATTCCACAGGGCTCAAGGACGTATTGTACAACACGAGGATGCCAATATTTTGTAATAACTGTAAATGGAAAGTAATCTTTACAACTGTATAAAAATAAATTACAAATTAAATAATCATAACATTCCACACAATTGAAAAACTTTGGTTCCAAACTTCTTGTAAGCTAGGGTCTAACAAGGTATGTCTGTTACCCAGTTAGAACACTGCTATGTTGATGCTTGGGTCTATACTCCAAAGCTAATACTGCAGTGTAGACCCAAGCACCAGGGGTGTGTGTGTGTTAGTCGCTCAGTCATGTCCAACTCTTTGCAACCCCATGGACTGTAGCCCACCAGGCTCTTTTGTCCGTGGGATTCTCCAGGCAAGAAAACTGGAGTGGGTTGCCATTTCCTTCTCCTAGCACCAAGTAGGAAAACCCAAATAAAGTCCAAAAAGCAAATCATAATACAAACTAGACACATGATAAATACCAACCTCTAGAGCTGCTGGGTATTTCCTAAATTCTATGGCATCTGCCTCAAATCTCTGGTACTTGGTTTTAGCTCTCTCACAGTTACCTGAGGGGAGAAGTGATTCATACATTAAATAACCCAAGAGGCTTCAAAACCAAAAGAAAAAAACAATTCAAAAACACATCTTTCAAGAAAGTGACCTATTTTTCAAGATAAAATTCTATGCCGTTCTGTTGTTCCTGGTGGTAAAAATGATCACTTGGCAAAAACAGACAGTCCAGAAGAGAGCCTTCATTAGGAAAATTAAAATCTTGACTGTGTAACCTGGGGTAAACTGAGCTTCCCATTAACATCTTCACAGGAGGACTCAGTGAGTCTGTCTTTCAGATATGGCCAAAGGAGAAAGTGCTGAAAACTACTAAACTATAGTATTGGGTCACAGTGAGGAGTAAATTTATAACCAATGCTATTTCCCAAGACAGAAAAAAGATTCATACACACTCTGATGGGCAATGACATGACATGGGAATACAAAGGCAAATAAGACTGGGAAGACCAATGGTACCACAGTCAGTGTTTTAATTCAACTATTCTGGAGTTCACAAGATGCTGTCAGATGCACATGAGGGGGTCCCTAAGCACAGTGGCCCAGGTCATTTCCTGCCACTTTATAAGCAAGGACTAACATCAAAGCCAGAAAACTCTGCACATATGGAAAAGGAACCCTGTTTTTTAAAAATTTCCCCCAAATCATTGAGCATGAATCAAGTCAAGACAATAGCCAGGAGTTTAAAACCTAACATTATACCCTGATTTTTAAGTGGAAGTGGTAGGCTTAAATATTTCTTCAATCTAAAGGTTTGGGATTAGGCCTGGAATTTATTTAAACTTCCCTGAGGCCCTTATGCATCCCATTCTTCACTTACCTGCTTTGCTTCATTCTTTGCACCCCAGATGTAATCATCTGCCAAAACGGCCCTTAGGGTCCTCCCCCTGTCCCCTATTCCTGTCACCTGTGCCCTCACCAGTCCTAGGATGGTTCAAACTCAAGCTTCAACCAGGTGTGGATGGGCTGCTAGTCCAGTCCCTCAACCTCACCATTTTACACTCCTTCCACCCACAACACACAGCAAAGCAAAACAACTCTTTCCAAGAAAACTTTTCCATGGATTACCTTTTTTCCCCTATGTACTCATGTTCAAACTCCAACCTTTTAAAACTCTTAAACCTTTTAAGACGTTTAAAGCTGTTAGTCCTCTCACCCATCTCTAATTATTCCCGTGTGAGTTAGGACCCTCACCACTTTGATTTTTTGAATTACAATACTTTTTATTGAGTAAACTGGCTTTATTCAAGAGCACCATATAGGTGCTCTCCACGCTAATTCCTACTATAAAATACTACTGGTTGAAAACAAAGATTTGTCTCATTTCTCTACTCAGTCCGAATTAGCCACTTACTGCCTACAGGATAAAAATTTGTAAGTGAAGAGAAACCCTCGTACTTTACCACATTCCCAGCCTCTTTCCCAATCCCTCACCATTCTCCATTCTGGCAAGAAGGTCTCAAGCAGAATCCTGCCGTGACTGCCTGTTTGAGCTCACCTGCTGTCTCCATTCCCACTCCAAACTTTGTGCTCTTTTGTCTCCAAACCACAGAACCTAATCGGGGTGAAATCCTCTACCTCCATACAGACTGCCCATTCTCAGCCATCCATCTAGACCATGTCCTCCTGACTATCTCAGCCCACCACCACCCACCTCTCTATCATCTTTTACCAGAGCACTTTGTTTCACATTACACTGAAATTTCCTAGAGTGCAGGAACTCTAACTTGGGATTCTCTTTGAACATGAATATGGGCACCTATACCTTAAGCAAAAACCTATTTTCAAAACAGAGAAATACTAATTTATGGCTGCCTTTGTATCCTGGACCCAGTAGGGAACCAGCACAAACGACCAAACAGTATATGAACCCATTAGTCACTTACACTCCAGTGACCTGTAAGAGGCTCTCTGGGACTGCAGTCCCTCCGGCTTGGCCATGGCGGGTCTTCTGTGGAGCCCGACACCAGCGCTTTCACAGCCATCCTGTCCTCTCCACCGATAAACTGCAGGGACACACTCACATTCACCATAAGCGTGTAGTAACTTGCACTTATTTCTGGTGGGCCAAACCATAAGTTGAGGAGGGAGAGAGCTCTCAGGTGACATCCTGATTATCCTTCCAGTCTTGTGATAAGACCTTCTTCTGGAAGATGTCAGAGGGCTCTGTGGACTCACTTCAAGGAGGCATTCGATCTCATCCATGTCATCCTCCTCTTCCAACTCAGAGTCTTCTGAATCCTCAGGAAGCACAATGGTCAAGACGGCACTTTTCTTCAACAGATAGGCTGTCTTAACATTTGAGAAGCTGCTCAGCTCTTTCAGCTTCCTGCCTTTCACAGTCTTTTTAATCTTTGCACACCTTTTCAAGTTATCATTAGACACCTCCCCAGTCTCATCATTCATGATCATTTCCTCTTTATCTGCACTTAATTTCCTATTGGTGATTGGCTGTTTCCAAGATCCCTTGGTTTCGCTGTCTGATGCTGTCTCTTCACCCCTGGAAGGGATCTGCTGGGGGGATTTCTCTACCTGGGCTTCAGAGCAACTCATGTTGCACTGGATGCCCTTGTCCACTTTGTGGACCTGGGCCAACCAGGTAGGGGAGGGAACGCGCCCCCCGCAGCCATTGTTCTCCACCTCATAGACTCCATCCTGGTTCCTGCTCCCCACTGACATCTGCTCTGCTCCCTTCCTACCACTTCCTGGTGAAGACCCAGGGGAATTCCCAGACTGTACCTCAGTCCACCAAGTCAAGTCGCACTGGATGCCCTCATCTACTTTGCTGACCTGAGCCAAGCAGGGAGGGGATGGGACAGCCATCTCAGGGCAGCTGTTGCTCTCTACCTCTTCACCCACAGCCCCAGGGGAGCCGTGGCTCCTGCTACTGTTCTCTGGCATACTTTCCCCTGCAGTAAAGGGCTTCTGAGATGATTCTGAGTGTAGACTCAGGTTTTTAACTGCTTCCATGCTGGCGCAGAGTGCCCGTTCCTGATGAAGCTTGTTCATATCTCCAGTAGACTGATACAATTTTGAGTTCTGGGTATTCTGGATCTCATCTCTGTCATTCAGAGGTGGTGGGTTTGGGGAAAGAGCTGCATATCTCTTCTCTTCTTCATCCAAGCTCATGCGGTCTCTACCGTCATAAGAGTTAAAAAGCATTCCTCTACTTTCACAGAAACTTTGTGAAATCCCATTTTGCAGCACCTCCTTCTGTGGCATATCTTTACCATAAACCACATCATATGATGGCATCGTTTCGTTTGATGTACTCGCAGGAATACTGGTCACCTTTCCCATCTCAGGGCCGTCGCCTTCTGAGGGCACGTCTTGTTTTTCATTCAAGTTTTCAGCCGGTTGAGGTTCAGCTTCTGTTTGTGTATCCTTGGTTTTCATTTTTTCCCAATAGCCACCATACTGTCGGAACTGTGCCGTGTTACATAACATAGGGACGATGGATCTTCGGTTAACAGTAGTGGGCAATGGGGACTGAGGGACAAGGAAGGCAGGATACTCACTGAGCACCATTGGAAAATACAGACTTCCATTTGTGAAAGCTAGAAAGAGAAGGGGAGAGTTAGCCATTCTGTCTCCTGCCGCCACTCACAACACTCAGCCAGGACTCACTGCACAGCCACAGCCTCTCACACCCACCACGGGCTCCCACCGAGTCTTCTGTTACCTCTTCTGTTACCAAAGCAAAGGACATCAAGTCCTCCCCCAGTTTTTACATGAGTAACTCCTAACGACCTTCATAACCCATCTCCCACACTTCTCACAAGTCTGAATCCGTTTCGCTTCCAGAATAATCTGTGGTCCTCACTCCAGTTACAGTATTTAAATGGCTCATCATGGCCTATCAGATATGAGGGATAGTGACCACATTCCCTAGGATGGCATAAAACACTTCATTATCTAGTTTCTCACTGTATCATCTCATTGAGTCTTTCAAGATACAGATGGTCCACTAAGGCTCTCACCATGGTGCATTCCTTCACCAAGACAGCTTTTAAAATTTCTCTTTTCCTTTTCTGGAACACCCTCCTTCCCCTAATCATTTTAAAACATTTTCAGCAACTGCTGGAACTTGAGGCATTTTGTCAAGAAAAGTCAGTTGGACAGAGAAAGGCAAATACTATACGATCACTTTTATGTAAAATCTAGAAAAAAATGATATTAGATACAGTGGAATCGTGGTTGCCATGTGGTTGCTGAATGATGGGGAAATAGCAAATGCTGGCCAATGGCAAAAAGAAACCTCTAATTCAGCTTATTATACAAAAGAAAAAATGGGGAAGGGAAACATTTATTCAAAATCAACCTATTTATAAGAACATAAATCAGCTATTTTAATTCTAGAGCACTGCATACTGCATGTCCAATTAATATTTAAAAGATGATAGACTACATGATTATGGATATTCTACAGGCTTGGAAGCCACTCAATCCTACCCAAGTGAAAAAGGTGAACAAGAATCAAGAATTCTCAGGTGATTCACAGCAATCACCTGGTTACTGGGAAAAGCGCTACTACCAATACTGGAAAGCCATGTGAATACAATCACAATTTAAGAAGCACAGACCCAGGAGATCAAAACTCGATGAGAACTCACAGTGGGGTAGGAAAACCTCAACTGCTATTGACAGACTGCAAGATTAGGATGAAGTCTGAGTTCAAATCCTCAGAGAAAACTCATCCATAAGGGAACCATCCCACACACTTTTTTAAGTTTTCCATGCAGTAGCTCAATCAGTTTCTCACAGTAAATTTAAGAGAAAAGTCTCCTGAGCTTCCCGCAGGGGAAGAGGAATAATGCATACCAGAAGCACTGTTCTTAACAAGGTTCATCTTCAGAAGACAATAAACAGAGCATAACTGATGTGCAGGAATGGAAATACTTTTCTCCAGTCCACTCTAGCCACCCTTCCCAACCCAATGGGAGGGGGAAGCATGTGTAGTTTGTTGTGCAAAGGCAAAAATCACACTAAAAGACTAAGACCTAATCATAGTCCTTTCACAAACAGAACTGTGATCCCTTCTCTACCTCTACAAGGTAACACTCCATTACTAAGGGCCTATTCAGATCAGTTGCTTTTATCCAGTACAAAATGGCTGACAAAAACATTATAAGGCATAATAAAGAGGAAAAACTACTGTCTACAAAAACAAAGAAAAAAATCAGTTTAAATACAAACACAGGGATTAAATGCAAACAGGAGGAGAAAGACTTACCATACTAATTAGCTAATGCTAATAATCAAAAGAAACTTGGAAAAGCTGTATTTATTTCAGACAGATTTCAGAAAAAGGAAAGTAATCAGGGACATAAAGTGGGGCATCACAAAAAAAGTCACTTCTTCATTGAGACATAACAATCCCTAATATATATGCCCTTAACAGTGGGTGAAACTACATGAAGCAAAAGTCATAGAACTGCAAGGAAAAATAGATGAATCCATTGTCAGAAACTTTAATACACCTACAGCAGACATGGATAGATGCAGTCAATATTAAAACATCAATAGGAACCAATGAACTCTACAGCACCAACCAATTGTACATGACTAACCTCTATAGACCCCCTCAACTAATAGAATATTTTTCTCACACTTACATAGAACATTCACAAAGATAGACCACATTGTGGGCCATAAAACACACTTACAAGTTAAAAGGTATACTAATTATAAAATGTCTGCTTAGACCATAACTGAACGAAGGTAGAAAACAAAAAGATAAATTCCTAATATCAGAAATGAAAGGGTACATAACTACAGATCCCATGGGCATAAAAATATAAATGATTAATATGAACCCTATTTCCACAATATTTATTATATAGATAAAGAAGGACAAATTCCTTAAGAGACAATTTCCCAAAACTCAAGTAGAAACTGACAATCTGAATGGACCTCCATCTATTAGGTCCAAGATGTCTACCTTCCAAATATTTTCAAATCTTGCTTGCCACCTTTCTCCAACATACTTTTCTGATGTCCCCATTATAGCTTTTAGAATCTTTAGACTCTGTAGAAATATTACCAGGACTAGGAGCTCTAAGGTACCTCATCCAACAAGACTGGTCTCACAACATGAGACTTTGGTTGGATTATGCTATGATCCTGGGCCAGTCACTGACTGGAAGCCTTGGTCCCCTCATTTGGGAAACAAGGACAGCAACAACTTGGCCAAATGAATAGAGAATACATTTCTAGTATTTGGGCTTTCCTGGTGGCTCAGATGGTAAAGAATCCACCTTCAATGCAGGAGACCTAGGTGCGAACCCTGGGTTAGGAAGATCCCCTGGAGGAGGGCATGGCAACCCATTCCAATATTCTTGCCTGGAGAATTCCCCTGGCCAGGGGGGCTTGGGGGGTTCCGTTCCTTTGGTTCCCAAGGGTTTGGCCTTGCTTGGTTGCTTAACCCCGGCCCCCACTTGTTTTTCGGTTGGATTTTGATTTTTTTTTTTTATTTTGACCCCCAACCCTTGCCCGTTGTTTTGCCCCATTTTTTTTGGTTTGGGCCCGGGTTGGGGAAGGGGAGTTCTTGGCCAAGGGGTTTGGAAACCTTTCGGGTTTTGTTTTCCCGGGGGGTTCCCGATTCCCCTTGACCTCCTTGGGGATTCAGATTCCTCACCTGCCCCAGAAATGGCGAGTGGATTATAGGCAGGATTCTGGTACCAGAGACCCAGGTGAGGCTGCTGGGCCATGGGCGGCACATAGAAGAAAGGTCTGGAGTTACTGCCCTCAAAATTTTCGTTGTTTCCTGAAGAGTTCATTTTCCACTGAAAAACAGGTGTTTATAGCTAAGAAAGGACAGCTGTGCCTCACCCTGTAAAGTGCTGTAAAGGTAGACAACCATCCTTGTCCCCCATCATGACTGGGATCCTTACCTTGTCTTCCCACTTGCCTGGGATGCAGACATGGGGTACTGCCCTGCAGGCGTTAGGACCAGCGGAGCAGCGCCCAGAGGCCCAGGCCCAGGCCCACGTCACGCTGAGTGAGTCCAGCTCCCCAGGCAGCAGCACCTTGGGGAGATGAGGCCTTGGAGGCGTGGGGGGGGGGGGTGTCTCAGTGCCCAGCGTCAAACGCCAGGGTACCCAGCAGCTGCACTGGAAAAGGGGTAGGCCCAGATGCACCACCCTTGTCTGCAGCCTCTCCACCATGTTCCCTAGCCCCTGCCCCAGACTGAATCCCGGCCCAGCCCCGGACTCCAGGCCCCGGGCTCCGTCTCCTAACACCCCGGTTCCCGTAGGCCAGTCTGTCCCCCACGACCCCCAAACCCTGTCCCCTCGCGGCGTGCATAACCCACGTTCCCATTAGGGACACCGACCTGCTCTAGCTCGACATCTGCGACGGGGAATTTCTGTAGCGGCGCACACAACCCACACAAGGCCTACCGCGCCGTCAAGAGCCCCTACAGGGCCGGTTGCAGTGGCTCCTTTTTATGCTTCACTGGGCGGCACGTGCAGCTCTTCAGCAGGCCCCGCCCCCCGCGCATGCGCCCTGTCGGAGCGCCCAGGCCAGCCTGCCCAGACAGAAGTCGCTGGAAGGTGCTGAGACTTGAAGGAGGAAAGTGGTCCTCTCCGCCCACTCCCGCGTGAACCCCTCCCTTCTTCACATTCTTCTGTGTGTGGGCATCCTGGCCTTGGTTTTTCTAGAGGACAGAGCCCTTCTAACCCCCTCGGTCTCCCCGACTGTCCCCTCCTCCGAGTGTGTTGAGTTAGGACGGGTCACGCCGCTCTTCTGAGCTCCTGGTCTCCTTTCTTCCTGAGGCCCAAAGCCGCTGACAATTAAGAAAAAGGAGCCTACCGAGGAGAAGCAGAGACGAAGGAGGTCAACTTGCACGAAGGACAGACCTGAGAGGAGGAAGATTCCCACAGGTGGGGTGAGCAAGAGTGCTTCATGCGGCTGAGACCAACATCTCGGGGGAAGGGGCTCTGGCTATGAGGACTCCAGTGGTCGGGGGAAGTGATGGGACAGGGAGGTGTGGGCAGTGAGAAGGGGACGTACAGTATTCTTTGCACATGAGAGAAAGGAAAGACATAGGATAGTAGTGAAGGAGGGAGGAATAGTACTTCTAGGGAGAATCGACAGTTTGGAATGACTGAGTTACTGCATGGAAATCGGGTTTTTCCAGAAATTACAGTTATAAAGAGTTATAATAGAAAATACGTGCAGCTTCAGGTTCTATCTCCTTGGTTACCCCCAACTGAAAGGATGTGTGTGAGCTCTTGTCTTTGAGCTGGACACATTGCCACTTGGCAGAAACTGGGTTGCTGTGACTAAGAGTGGAGAATAGATATTAACTGGGCAGGTAACTAACAGTTTCTCTTATAAGGGTTCAGGGTCATGAAAGAAACATTATTCTCCCACTTCCCATTGCTCTGTATTGTGCCCAGTCATCATTCTCCTTTCCTCCCTTCACAGCTATTTCCCTATAAGGGGATGGTAAACACTCAGCCTTCTCCACCTCCTATTCCTTCACTCACTGCAAATTCAGATTTTGTTACCATTATGCCCACTCATCCACCCTCATCAAGGGCACTGATGAACCATTTGCTGCTAAATGGCATGGAAACTTTTCAGTTTATATCACTAAACCTCATCTCCCAGGTACCAGCCTAACTGGTTGCCTCTCTACTGGCCCTTCTTAAAGTCTTTTACTGTCTCCCAAATTTCTCTCTTTAATGTTCATATTCTCCAGGTTAGATTTTCTTCATCTTATTCCACTCTTTCTCTCTGCATTTTCACAACATTCTCAGGACTTCCAGTATAACCAGCATATTGCTCACACCTAAATCTCTATGTCTAATTTCTCAACTCAATATTTATATCTCAGCAGAAGAATTGTGCTGTTGTTAGGATATGCTCAAATGATATTGTCTGTTATTCATAATAAGCCTCTTTCTACCAATGCAAATTTGTGCTAATAAGGTGATTAAGGTGGGTTCCCTGGATAACTCAAGGAAGGAAGCTAATCACCAGAAAAACCTAACTTGTGCTTAAAGGGTGGGAACTTTCAGTCCCACACCTGAACCTGGAAGGGGGGGTGGGGAGACGGGGCGGGAGCTGGAGATTGAGTTCAATAAAACTCTTGAACCTGGCACTGTTTATTAAATTTCCAAGAAATGTTAGTCCTTGATGCTGTTTCCTTTTCATGGTTTTTCAAAAAGCAACATTCAAGGAAAAAAACAAATGTTCTTCAATGTATAATTGTAAAATGGTTAAACAAACTGTTGTATCCATATCATGGAAAACAATTCAGCAGTAGAAAAAATGAAGTATTGATGCATAAAACAACTTAGATAAATCTCAAGGACATTATGTTGACTAGATCAGTGGTTTCCAGGGGTTAAGTTTGGGGTGAGATTGTGACCATAAAGGGATCACACAAGGGAATTCTCTGGCAGTCCAGTGCTTAGAACTCTGTGCTTTCACTGCCGAAGGCATAGGTTTGATCTCTGGTCAAGGAGCTAAGATCTCTCACGTGGCATGGTGTGTGTGTGTGTGTGTGTGTGTGTGTGTGTGTTTGTGTAAGGACTTCCTTGGTGGCTCAGTCGGTAAAGAATCTGCCTGCAATACAGGAGACCCGAGTTCTATCCCTGGGTTGAGAAGATCCCCTAGAGAAGGAAATGGCAACTCCCTCCAGTATTCTTGCCTGGAAAATTCCATGGATTGAAGAGCCTGGTGGGCTACAGTCCATGGGGTCACAAGAGTCAGACACGATTTAGCGACTGAACCACTAGTATGTATATAATATCATTGTGACCTATTTTTTTAAAGTGTATGTAGAAAGAGGGAGTAACCTGCTATATCAAATGCTACTGACCCGTCATAAAGAATGAAGACTTACTGGCACAAGGTCCATTTGGAGACACAGCCAAGGACAGAAATCAGTAGGCTAACAACAAGTAAGTGATCCTTTGCACACAGTGTACATCAACCAAAAAGAGTTCATAAAGAGTCTCAAGGAGAGAAAAAGAAAGGGAAGATTTGCTCAACATCTGAAGAGGTCTTATTGTCCCCTCAAGTAGACAGAAGAGAAAACCTCATGGGCCCTGCCTAGAGAACTTATTAGATACCCAAGCAATGGTGAAAGAGAATTTTTCTTCTTTAATCACTGCTATTGAATGATAAATACAAAATCAAAATGCTTAGATAGGAGATATGGCGTCTGTTTGAATTTAAACAACTTCAAACAAGAAGTAATTGAATCAGATAAAAATAGGTGTAATGTGACAAAGGCCTTGAATACCTTTGTTAGAGAAAAAATTCTGTCAAATTGCTAAAAATGAATAGTAAAATATCACCAGTAAGCAAAACTTAACTTTCCAAAATTATCTATAAATGTTCTATACCAAACAATAATTTCCATGGACTTCAAACATAAAATTGAAGATCTACTTCTGTTGACAAAATAACATTGGCAGACTTTAATTACTTCTTGTTTCTCCTGTTCTATCAATTCTATTTATTCACCCCTCCCTCCACTTATTAACTCCTTAAAGAACTTCCCAGATGGCTCATTGGGTAAAGAATCTGCCCGCAGTGCAGGAAACACAGGAGTTGTGGGTTCGATCCCTGGGTTGGGAAGATCCCCTAAAGAAGGAAATGGCTGCTCACTCCAGTATTTCTTGCCTGAAAAATCCCATGGACAGAGAAGCCTGATGAGCTTTAGTCCATGGTCACAAACAGTCAGGCACGTCTGAGTGACTAAGCACAATAAAGCCCCTCAATCACCATTTAGTTCCTTTCTATTCAAAGTGTAGTGTCCAGACCAGGAGCATCAGTAACACCCAAGAGTTTGTTAGAAATATGAACTCTTGGGACTTCCCTGATGGTCCAGTGGTTAAAGGGATTGGGGAACTAGATCCCATATACCGCGACAAAGATCGAAGATCCTGAGTGCCGCAACTAAGACCTGGTGCAACCAAATAAATAAATAAATAATCTTTCAAAAAGAAATGTGGAATCTTGGCCTCCCCCCAAACAACATCCCCAGGTGGTTCACATTCACCCTAATGTTTGAGAAGCACTGGTTGAACTAACACTTGATTTCCTCAGTGGATGTTTCTTTATAGCAGGACTTCCCTCTTCTTTTTCCTAGGACCTCTGCCAAGTTAACACCCAAGAGTTTGTTAGAAATATGAACTCTTGGGACTTCCCTGATGGTCCAGTGGTTAAAGGGATTGGGGAACTAGATCCCATATACCGCGACAAAGATCGAAGATCCTGAGTGCCGCAACTAAGACCTGGTGCAACCAAATAAATAAATAAATTATCTTTCAAAAAGAAATGTGGAATCTTGGCCTCCCCCCAAACAACATCCCCAGGTGGTTCACATTCACCCTAATGTTTGAGAAGCACTGGTTGAACTAACACTTGATTTCCTCAGTGGATGTTTCTTTATAGCAGGACTTCCCTCTTCTTTTTCCTAGGACCTCTGCCAAGTTATCTTCCAGGGCATGAAAAAGACCATTACTCTCTAATCAAAGAGCTTTAATAGCTAAAAGGTGTCCAAAATCATTTGGTTTTTTGCTTTTGCAGGGTAAGAAAGCAAAGCCCAGAGATATTACATGACTCCTCTAAGTCACAGCTAATGACAGAACCTTTCTTCTGCATACTTTCTTCCTGCTCTTTAGGTTCTTGCATACTGTCACTATCCCACAACTTAATATGCAAAGAAATGAGAGAGTAAGTCTCAGTGGTATGTTTTTAGTTTTGCCTTGCATTGTTGTAATTTTTAACAGCGTTAGTGGGCAAAGATCTTAAACCTACATCCACCAAATAGTTCTTCCTCACAAGAATACTACTTAACTACTTCAAGCCAAGACTATGCCAATAATCCTATCAGAGCAGAGTGTGAGGTTGTGCATAGCAAAAAGTCATAAATTTACATCAAATTCCTTCATATATTCTTACCATCCCAAGTAACATCATATATCATTATGGACAATAATTTACAGAAAAACAAAGATTTACATACTTAAAGAGTTAAAAACAACAACAGAGGAATCAAACATATGTACTGATTGTAGCCAGCATGTGTTTCCCAGTTCTACAAAAGGCATTCACGCACCCAGTGGTTAATTCCAGACTTGTTTTCTCACCAGATGCCTGCTCGGATAAGCTCTATTCCACCTTTCTAAGAACTCTCTTTCTACAAATTTCCCTTCAAGCAGAACAACTGCCAGGGTCCCAGGGCTGGAAGGACTAGAGCAAGAGTGGAGGGTGCAGAGAAAAGCAACCCTTACTGCTCCCTCTTGTTCTCCTGTTGCAACTTTTTCCATGTCCTGGGCAAAGAGAGAGCCTCACCGAGTAGCACCACCAGCTCCACAGAGTTGATGTGATCCCCCCAAGTAGCTCCCCGGCATCCCCTTCCTGTTATCCCTAGAGACAAGCAGGGGAAACTGCATCGATCCCTTGAAAGAGTCCAGGCAGGTGAGAACAAGTCATGCTACTCAGAAAGGACAATGATGGGAGAGGCGATGATTGATTGGAATGTTAGCAGAAAAAGAAAAAACACCTACTTGCTCTAGCCTAACTTCAAGCTGTCGCTGTGCTGTTGCCATAGCAACTTTTTAAATGTGTGTGGTATAAAACATAACATAAAATTTACCAACGTAATTTTTAAAGGTATAGTACAGTAGTGTTAACTGTAGGCACACAGTTCTGCGACAGATCTCTGGAATTTTTCATCTTGCAAAACTGAAACAACTCACTACTCAGTTGAACGACCCCATCATTTCCTCTTCCTCAGACCCCACAACCACTATTATACTTTCTGTTTCTTAGAGTCTGACTACTCATATAAGTAGAATAATGCAACTTGTCTTTTTTATGACTGGCTTATTTCACGTATATGAGGTCTTCAAGATTGATTCGTGTTGTCAAATACTGCAGAATTCGCCTCTGTTTAAAGGTTGAATAGTATTACATTTGATGTATTTCCACATTTTCTTATCAGTTCATCTTTTAATGTACATTTCAGTTGCTTCCACATCTTGGCTATTGTGAATAGTGCTGCAGTGAACATGGGAGGGCTAAAATTTCTATGAGTGTCTACTTTTGATTCTTTTGGATATATACCCTGACATAGGATTGCTGGATCATATGGTAATTCTGTTTTTAATTTCGTGAGGAATTTCCACACTTTTCCCACAGTGGCTGCACAAATTTACATTTCCACCAGCAGTGCACAAGGGTTCCAATTCTTCACATCCTCACCAACATTTTTAATTTTCTGGTCTTTTTGACAGTGGTTGTCCTAACTTGTGTGAAGTGATATCTCATTGTGGTTTTGACTTTCATTTTCCTGATGATTAATGATATTGATAAGCTTCATAAGCTTCTTTACCCATTGTCTATTCAAGTCTTTTGCCTATTTTTTAATGGGGTTTGTTGTTGTTGACATTTTTAACATAAACTGGATATTAACCCCTTGTCAATTAAACGGTTTGCAAGTATTTTCTCATATTCTGTAGATCGCCTTTTACTCCCTTCTTTTGGTGCA